CAGGAGAAACAAGTTTTACATTCAGGCCTGCTTCAGTCTGTAGCTAAAGTAAATAAAGGTCACTGTTAGAGAACGGATGTTACATGTGCTGTCTTCTTGAATGTTCCTCCAAATATTTTGTTACAGCCTTTCTCCTGTCTAAAATGCCTCCCACGCCTGCTACCCCTCACAGAAGAAAGTGGCTGTGGGGTATTAAAGTGGAGTTATAAAACCTTCCACACACCACACAAAGCCGTCGCTTACACAACATTTCCTCAGCTCATTAAGCACCAGAGTTGGCATCCCAGACGTTTATTCGGGAATGGTAACTTGTTAGGACGACTTTAGGAGAGAAAAATAAAATGTAAGATTTCCTGCTTGATCTTCACAGTTTGTGTAAAATGTGGTAATTGGGGAGAGAAGGTAATTATGTCTTTCTCTAAATCTGTTGTGCTTGACTGTGAGATCTGCTGTGCAGCTAGTGCAGGGGGTCAGATCAGATATGGAAAGAGCACAGCAAAGACAAGCAAATGAAAAAAACATCGGATTTAAAATGAGTGCCCACATAAAACTGTCATATGCAGTATGTTGTGTTTACTGAATAAATCAGTACAATAGGTTTACAGTATAGACCAGAGCTGTGGTTTGATAGACCTGTGATAGCATTTGCTGGAAAAAACAAAACAAAACAAAAATAAACAATCCCACATTGTTTTTTAAAAGGTGTCAGAATCAGTTGAGTTGACTTGTTATTTAACATTCAGATGATCTGGGCCAAAAAACTCATCACATTTTTGTATAGTTTCTCATTTAGGAGCAAAACTCTTCGTGTACTTTGGTACTTTTTTTTTTTCCTTTTTCAAATTTACATTTTTCACATGTAGACTTTGCTTCAATGTGTTCTGAATAAATGTTATCAGAGTAAGAAAGCTGACAAACACAAAACCTAATGGTACGACTACTAATCAACTAAAAACCTACCAGAAAATGGCAGGCCAAGCCACTGGCGACCATCACATGAAACACCCGCCAGTTAAACCACAAATATTTCTGCTGTAATATCTTGATAATAAAACTAACTTTCAGTCATGACCAAGACACACACTGAAGGAACTATAGTGTTTGGATCAATAACTTGTGGAGAAACCTGTTCTGACTTTGTATTTCTATAGAGAAGTTGGTGATTTTCTCGTTCAGTTCAAGTTTCCTTGGACCGTCCATCCTTGGTTGAACAGGCCACAGCTCATGACAAATGCAACTGGTGACAGTTTGTAAATAAACGTGGAGTCATGATGCTTCTCCACCTGCCGCTCTGTTTCTACTCTGCACAGATGACAAGAAACATTTCTCTTAAATCCTTGTTTTTTTGGCTGAGGGCAGTTTTACACTATCACTACTTGACAATTCTTGGTCGTGTCTGTGAAACGTGCCGTGAACTATTTTTATTGCTAAATTATAGAAACTTCTTCCTCTGTTTCTGTGAAGGTTGTTTTCAGTCAGGAGGTAAAGTTTAGATCTGAGACAATTTATTTGACAGCACTGATGCTCAAATCTCTTTTCTCTTTCTCTGCCTCTAGATGGCTTCAGTTTCAATCAGTCTAAGCCGGTTTTATTAAGAACCTCCGTCTGTCTCTCGTCTTTTTCTCAACCCAGAAGGAAGCCGGTTTGAGACAAACAGCTCTTGTTCTCTTTCCTTTGTGCTTTAACATCAGACTTGTCACCAAAGCAAATCAAATAACAGGTTTTCTCAGCATGTCTCTTCCACACTCACTCTCTCTGTTTCGCTGCAGCACAGAGGGAAGGAAAACTATTTAATATGAACATGAAGGAACAGAATATGGTTACAAATTCTGGGAGACTTCAGAAGTTGAAACCTCCCTCTCTGTCTTTTCGGTGCCTGTGACATCTCAGTAACTTGAATGATAAACTGGCTAAGCAGTAAATGTTGCTGTGGCCAAGCCCTTAAACCTGCATTAATTCATTTTGACAGCATAACAATAAAATGTTATCACTTTATAAAAGAACTATGGCACATGGAGCAACATTAGCATTAATTTAGTAACCCTGTCATCATGAAATTACTTATTTATACAACTAATTTGCAATAGTAAATATGCTTTGAAAGAACTGTAATTACAGTCAAATTAGATTTTCTATTTATGCAAAGAAGAAATGTTGTTAATTGATGTGTCAGTTCCAAATATAATGATACTGAACGTAGCAGTAAAATGTATTTATATCTGATCTTGTGGTAAAATATCCAGTAGTGACTAAAGTATTATTAAATGTTTAGGAACTCAGCATCTGGTTAAAGTCAGGAAAAGGTTGTGGTATGGTTTAACATGGAAACGTCCACACTGACCTAAGACATGTTTATTAGCATTGAGCTAAAACCACATCAGTCAAACCCTAATCCATCCATACATTTTCAGGTTCAGCGAGGTAGTCCAGGAAGGAAACTCATTTCGGCCACTTGTATCCTTGATCTTATTCTTTCGGTCACTACCCACAGCTTGTGACCATAGGTGAGGGTTGAAGCGTAGACTGACTGGTAAATTGACAGCTTTGCCTTTCGGCTCAGCTCCTTTTTTACCACGACTGTCTGGCTTAATCCTCGCATCACTGCTGATGCTGCCCCTATCTGCCTGTCAGTCTCACAATCAATTTCACCCTCACTTGTGAACAAGACCCTGAAATTCTTAAACTCCTTCACTTGAAGCAGCAACTCACGCCCAACCTGGAGGGAGCAGTCCACCATTTTCAGGCAGATCACCGTGGCCTCAGACTTGGAGGTGCTGACTCTCATCCCCGCCGCTTCACGCTCAGCTGCAGACCAGTCCAGTGCATGCTGGAGGTCACAGTCTGATGAAGCCAATAAAACCACATCATCAGCAAAAAGCAGAGATGCAATTCTGAGGTCCCTAGACCAGACACTCTCCTTCTCGGACTGTGCCCTGAGATCCTGACCATGGAAATCACAATCCGGATCTGTGACAAGCGACAGCCCTGACAGAGACCAACACTAACTGGGAACGTGTTTGACTTACTGCAGTGCCTCTTGCACGATGTCAGCTGGGATTGGCTCCAGCCCACCGCAACCTTATTTAGGAATAAGTGGTATTAGATAATGGATGGATAGATGGCTCACTTGCTACTTCAGGAATTAAATCAGTTCCTGTTGTAGTTCTGCTCTACAACAGAACTGCAGACAGTCTGTGATACTCTGTGATCATTCACACACTTATTCTGTTCATGACTTCACAATGCAAAAGCCAACTAACACAATCAAATTCTCTCCTATTAAACAACAAATATAACGTTTCTACAATATGTCATGTTGTTGATCTAACACCTCAACCAATCAGCTCTTAGATCAGGTGAGCGCCAGGTGTTTCCCATCATGCTCTTCCAGTCAGTGAAGAGCAACTGTGGTGCCTGGCCCCAAAAAGCTGCAGCCGCCTTGATCTCATTGGAATATCTTTGGCTGTGTAATGTTAAGTCACAGCAAGTCAGGATCACGTTTAAACAGAAAAGTAACAGGCATCCACTGGTTATTGATCACCAGTGATCGATTCTGTGCAGGTGTAGCTGATTGATGTTTATCAATGAAACTTTGCTACTTTTATTGAACATTTTACAGCAAGAACTTTAGATTTGACTGACTTCTCCAGTCCAATTACAGCTGTCTGCTTTTATTTTCCACATGAACCTGTCTGTGTAAACCACTGGGGATCTTCTGTACTTCTGCTTCTCTTCTCTGTCACTGTTCAGAGCATCTCTGTCTGTCTCCTTTCTTTTTTCAGCTCGTCTTTCTCCCCTTGAAGGAGAAAACAGAGAAACAAGCTACACAACAGAATAAACAACCTTGCTCATCATCTCTTCACTTCTCCCATCTTTGTCTGTTCTCAGCTGTTTTTATAGATGACTGTGTTCTTGTATGTGTCTGTACATGACTTCCCTTTTTAAAGAATGTCAAGGATTTGAAACTTGTTTGTCAAGAAAACAAATTACTTGATGCTCCAACTTCATAAAGTCTCTCTAGCAACTTTATAAGCTGTTATGCAAGGTAAAGAACGTGAGCCATGGGGACACTTATGGTACATACTCAGAGCTCAGGTTTCTGATGGGAGGAATCAGAATAATGTTTTTTGTGTCTTGTTGCTTTTCTTTTCTTTCTCCTCTATCCACTCAGCCCAACCAGTCGAGGCAGAAGGCCGCACACCAAAAGTCTGGG